GCCCTGAGGATGCTGCCATGATTGGGCCATGTGACTTTGCGCCTTTTACAGCCTGAGAAACTAGGGAGGGTTTCTTCTGAGCCTTTTTCCTTGCCTGTTATACAGTTATGGGCTAAGCTGTCTCTTATCCTACGGTTCCCTAGAGCTTCATTCAATCAAGAATGAAGCGCCCTGAGGATGCTGCCATGATTGGGCCATGTGACTTTGCGCCTTTTACAGCCTGAGAAACTAGGGAGGGTTTCTTCTGAGCCTTTTTCCTTGCCTGTTATACAGTTATGGGCTAAGCTGTCTCTTATCCTACGGTTCCCTAGAGCTTCATTCAATCAAGAATGAAGCGCCCTGAGGATGCTGCCATGATTGGGCCATGTGACTTTGCGCCTTTTACAGCCTGAGAAACTAGGGAGGGTTTCTTCTGAGCCTTTTTCTTCGCCCGTTATACAGCTCTGGGCTAACTTGCCCCTTATCTAATTGCTCCCTAGTCAGGATTTCTTGCCCTCTTTTCCTAAGATCTTTCCCACCTACCCTTATCCTTCCCAAGGAAGCCTGGAAAGGTCAGCCTGAGCTGCAAAACTGGAAGAATCCAGACACCCCTCCTCTTCCCGTCTTGGTTTTGCCCAATTCATGTAAAGGAAGGTAGCTTAGTGGCAAGGAGCTAAATTCCTCCACCGTCTCACAACTCCCGACTGAGCTTGTGACCCCCACCAACAGGGAAACGTCCTTTACCTGATCTATGTTGAGTCGGAGAGGCATCAGGGAGACTCTCAGGCAGCACTCGGGACCCCCCACGCCAGCTTCGGGGCAGACATGAAGAGCCTTGATGGTGAGCTAAAACAAAAAAAAATAGGGAAGAAAATTAGAATTGCTGGCTGGGGAATTCTGGGAGTTGAAGTTCACCTATCTTATAGTTGCCAAGGTTGGGAAGCACTGCCCTAAAGACTCCAGGGATTTGAACCTTTTGCAGATGGGCTACTAGCCCAGCCCAGCCTAGCCCAGCTCATAGGGCTGTTGTTGTGGGCAAATTAGGAGGAAGGAGGAGTATTACCGTATTTTTTATAGTATAAGACGCACTGGAGTATAAGACGCACCAAGATTTTGAAGAGGCAAAATTTTAAAAAAGGGGGTTAGCACTCTGCAGACCTCCCCAAAACAACCCGTTTTTCGCGAAAACGGGCCCGGTTTTTTGTCAAAAAAAGAGGGGCATGAATTGCCTTTAGGCTTGTAGAGTGCTTCTGGGGTGGGGGTGGGGGTGGGGGCAAAAACCGGTCCATTTTTCCTCAAAAAAAGGGCATGCATCGCCTTTAGGAGGCTTATAGAATGCTTCTGGGGGTTGGGGGGGGGCAAAATTGAGCAAAAAAAAAGTGACTTCTAGTTTGGTCGTAAACCGACCCTCCGAGCAAACCGGAAGTCCATTTCCGAACTTCCGGTTTGCCCATAGGGCCGTTTTTTTGCGCTCCGGAGGCTTCAGGGAAGCTTCCGGAGGGCTTTCCAGGGAAGGGGGAAGCTCTTTTCGGCCTCCACAGTCTCCTATAAGGCCTCTGGAGCCTGAGGAGGGCAAAAAATGGCTTCAGAAAAGGCTGAACTCAGCTGGCCAGTGTGCGCATGCGCTCTGGCCAGCTGACGGGGCAACACCACGCGTGCCCTGACAAATGGTTCCGTGTGCCACCTGTGGCATGCGTGCCATAGGTTTGCCATCCCGGGCATAAGGTTTCCTGCTTGAGCCGGGGGCAAGACTAGAAGACCTCCGAGGTCCCTTCCAACACTGTTATTCTGTAGCTTTGTACACTAAGCCCAACACATCTGGTCTGGCCAGAGGCCCAGGGAAGCTTCACCACGCCTTGGCTACAACGGGCACATTCCTGCTCCAAAGGGAGATCCGGTCCTTACCATGTTAGAATGGGCCCGCCGGGGCAGGAGCTCGCTGCTGTACAGGTAGAGGAACTTGTTGATCTGTGAGGAGGCCAGGCGGTCTCGGATCTCCAGCTCCTGGACAAGGAACACCTGCCTGGCTAAGGGCTGCTCCTCCGATTCCAGGCACGGCTTCTCGGAGGCTCCAGCCGAGTAGGATTCGTGCTGGAAACTCACCTGAGAGCAGAGAGGAAGAGCGGAGCGTCACTGGCACAGTAAGAGATGTGTACACAGATGACTCCGAGCATCTTCATGACAGGTAGTCCTCGACTTACAACCGCAAGGGAGTCCAGAATTTATGTTGCTACGTGAGAAATTTGTTAAGTGAGCTTTGCCCCCTTTTACAACTTTTCTGGCCACAGTTATTAAGTGAATCGCTGCAGTTGTTGAATTGATTAACACTGTGTCAGGATCAAAAAGTAAATCAGAGTCCGAGGCAAAGTATTGCTCAAAGTTCCAATTTATGAAGAGAGCCATGTTGGCACATCTGGAGAAACCCGAATCTGAAAGCTTCCCGGTTTTCCCCATCCAGTTGAAAGTTCAGGATCCTGCCCCCCCTCACCCACAAGTCCATCCCATGGTCCCATCTTCCACTGCCACGCTGGCAGCTTCCACCCATCCAGTTCTGGCCAAGTGCAGAGACAAAGGATGGACCTTGGCTTTCTAGAAAGAATGTTGTTATGGCTACATATCATCTAACACCGTACAACCCGCCCTCCCGTTTTCCCATAATAGAAAATGCATAGTAGAATAATAGAAAGTGTGGCAGGCCAAAGACCCCAAAGAAAAGATGGCTGCAGGCCTGACACACTGTTGTTAAGTGAATCTGGCTTCAGCCATTGACCTGGCTTGTTGGAATGCTGCAAAAGCGGATCACGTGATCC